CCTTCAAAGACCTGTGGCATAGTTTTGTGTGCTGTCCCTGCCTGGGACTGGCTGCTCTTGGACCCAATGCCCAGTGCTGCCATTTGGGGACCTGCAGCATTTCTGCTCCTGCAGCCACTTGGGGATCCATAGCATTTTATTTAACTCAGTACATTGGTTGCAGGACTCAGATGGCTCTCCCACCCCTTTCCCCACTCCTGGAGTTGGGATCCAGAACTCGGTATTTTTCCACAACAGCCACGTGTTCCATATACCTGAGCACAATTTCTACACGTGATTTCTATGCACACCACCAGCTTCAGTTGGTGAGTTTCCTCGATTCTGGTCAGCTTAACAATATCTTCAAACCCGAGGAATTGACCAGTGAGCTTCCAGCAATATTCTGGTGTTCCTAGAAACAGGGAGGCAGCCCCCAACTACGGACGGTTGATCCCTTTGCTGACATTCATCTCTGGATTGCTCTCCTTAGTTAAAATCATGACCAGACTGACCCAGGGTCAGTCCTTCCATGCTAGCACTGCATACACTGTGCAGTACATTCAACTGGGGGCCCAGGGTCCCTCAGATTTTTCTTTCTCCCCCACCCCACTGTGTATGGCCATTTGGAGTGGCTTCTGGCCTCTCTGCCTTCTGAGTCACCCTGACCAAATCCAGTCAGGATGTTGTACCCCACCTGTGGGCAGAGGATGCTTTCCTATGGGTGCTGTGGTGTTCGTGCTGCTTTACACCCCACCTATAGGGGAAGACGTCCCATTATAGGCCTTGTGGTGTTGCTGTTTTTTTTTCCCCATGGTTTCAGCTATGGGTAGCAAGCCATCCATGTCAATTCCCCCTGAGATGGATGCATTTTAGAGGCCATATTAAACCCCCAGGCCTTAATGGCCTACTTCTTCAGCTTCTACCCTCACTTCACTGATGTTCTGCCAGCTCCATTTTTATGGGAGCTTTCTTATTACTGTCAGTGCAACAGGCAAATGGAAGGAGTTTCCTCAAACTGTCCCTGCCACTGCTACTGCTGCCAACAAGATTGGTCAGATCCACAAGGCAGCTGCTTTCAATTTCAGCCTTTTGCTCCCCTCTGCAGCTTGTGGCATGGCAGCTTAGCCACAGGGCAGATCACCCCTCTAGGTCTCTCTTATTATTAAGCTTAAAATCCCTACAGCTCAAAAATTGTGGCCTTTCCATACAACATGTTTATGGGGTCATGACTTATTGCAACAATGAAATATTCAGATTAACATTCCTGCAGTCCAAAAAACTCATGTTTCTTGGAAGGATATTAGCATTGCTTTAATTTTGTCATAAGTTTGGGTTTTCTGTGTATTCATTTTCATTGAATTCTGGAAAGACTTTATTTATTTCTGTCTTGAGCCATTTTCCCTTCAATAGATGGTTTTCCAGTTTTCATGAGTTTGTCAGCTTTCTGTTGTTTCTGTTATTTTTGATATCCAACTTTAATTTCTGGTGGTCTGATAGGATGTAGGGGCTTATTTCTATTTTTTCTTATCTGTTGAAATTTGTGTTGTGCCTGAATATGTACTCAATTTTTTGAGAATGTCCAATGAGGTGCCAAGAAGTTACATTTTTGGTGTTTTGTAACACTATTGATTAAAATACAGAGACAGATATTGGGGCTCAACCTGAAGATTAGACAACCAAATCTCTCAAGCCACTAGAGAGTTCTTATTTCTATGAAATTTTCAGACTGAAAGAGGGTGAGTTCCTATCTCATCCTACCTTATATTCCTCTCTAGTGCTTGGATGAAAAGTATGCACCACCAGCCTCTATGGCTAACTAGTGTGACTGGCACCCAACATGGGGCTTGAACCCATGACCCTGGTTACCTCTATACATTATATATTTGTGTCTTCCTCACTTTTAATGGATTTTTCATTTCCTCATTAAAGACTTCTATCATCTTCATAAAGTTGTTTTCATAAAGATCTTTTCTTGTGCTTTAGCCTTGTTGGATATTCAGAGCCTACTGATCAATGGAATCTAGTGGGGGATATATTGCCCTGTCTGTTGTTAATTGTACTTTTACACTGGTGTGTAGGCATCTGGGTTTGGGATGATTCTAGATCTATGTGTTGATTTCTGGGTTTGTCTTTATTGGGTGTGTGTATTGTTTCTTGGTTTCTATTACACTTCTGTATTTTTTGGAGAGTGTGATGGTATGTGTTGCCTCTTTTCCTGGTCTGCTTAGCTGGTTTCTTCACAGGGAATACTTGAAGGCTGTAATAGTGGAATAAGTTGGGGAAAGGAAGGTTGGTGGACAAAGTCTTTGTGATCCCATAGGTCAGATAGGGAAGGGAGACTGGGCTTGGGTAAAACTTGGGTGGGGGTAGGATCTCAGTGGTAGTGGGAGATGTGTGGGTCTGTCTCCAGACTACTTGTTGCACTTGTAGGAGATGCATTTGGGTTAGTAGGAGGTAGCACCTTTTAAGTTGGGGTCTGGGACAAAGCAATGAGTGATAGGAGGATGGTTAAAAGTGGCAAGATCTCTGGGATCCATGAGAGATGTGAAGGGGGCTGCCAAGTGTGTTTTGTTGTAATGCTGGGGATGAGACTAAGAGACTGGAAATGGGGAATAGAGAGAGAATTGAATATGCACTGGCAGCCTACCTGATTTTCTGGCAGGTATGGCCTGTGGGTTAGCTTGGCACTGTCTGCTAGAGTTGGTGGCTGTTACCTTGTTCTGTTATTCCCAATGTGTTTCCAGGGAATTGTTTTGTTTTCTCAATCAGTCATTATGACTAGAGTAAGATGAAATTCCAAAGTAATTTTAATTTTAATTTCTGTGATACCTAAAGTTGAACATATTTTTATCCTACAATAGAAAATTATTTTAAGTTGTGTTACTTTTGTTTATGCTATAAACATTTGTTTAATAATGCAAGATGTTTTGTAATTTTTTTATGCTGCATTTATTTAACTCACTGAAATTGTTTTATTTTGCTTGTCTAAAACACTTGATGGGGCTAATAAAAAGCTAAATAGCCAATAGCAAGGCAGGGGAAAGGATACATGGGGCTGGCAGACAGAGAATAGATAGAAGGAGAATAAGAGAGAAAAGAAAATTGAAGAGTAAGAAAGAAGGGGCCAGACATCCAGCTATACATGGAAGAAGGAAAGACAAGGTATACCCAAATAGAGAAAGGTAAAAGCCCAGAGGCAAAAGACAGACAGGATAATGTAAGTTAAAAAAAGCTAGCTAAATAGCTCAGAGGGTGCCTTAACTGGCCATTTCCTGTAATTAGATTGGTAAACACCCTATACTGTCATCAGAGATACTCTATCCAGTAACTGATGGAAGCAGATGCAGAGATCTACAGTCAAGCATTGGATTGAGCTCAGGGATTCTTGCTGAAGAAACTGAGGAGTGATTGTATGAACCAGCGGTGTCATGACAGGGGAACCCACAGAGACACTGGACCTGAGCTCATGGGAGCTCATGGACTCTGGATCAACAGTTAGGAAGCTTGCATGGGACTGATGTAAGCTCTCTGCATGTGTGTGACAGTTGTGTAGTTTGGTCTGTTTGTAAAGTTCTTAGGAGTGAGACCAGAACTTCTTCCTAGCACTTAGCTGGCTTTTGGGAACCCTTTTTTCATGCTGGATTGTCTGGCCCCACCATGACATAAGGGGAGGATCTTGGTCCTGCCTCAACTTGACATTCCATGCTTTGTTCAAGCCCATGGGAGCCCTGTCTCTTTCTGAATGAAGACAGGGGAGGCTTGGAAGGGGAGGAGGTAGATAGGAAGTGGGAGACACTGGGAAGAAGGGCGGGAGGGGAAACTAGTTGGTATATAAAATAAATAAAAAGTTATTTAAATGAAATAATTAAAAAGAAAAGCTGGATAGAAACAAGTCAAGGTAAGACTGGGTATTCATTCAAAAAAAGAATAAACCTCCTTGCGATGTATTTGGAAGCTGGGTGGTGAGCCTCCAAAGAGCAAAAGAATAAGAAGGCAACCAATGATGTTAGCCACTTGGATTTCTTCTGAGAACTCTGTTTATTCTATAACCTGCTTTTAAATGATTTTTTGTATTGTCGCTCATTTGAAGGTTTTTGGTTATGCAGTTTGATAATTAGGGAAATTGACTGAGAGCATCCACATACTACAGAAGCATTGGTCCCCAGCATCTTCACTGGCATCCCCTCCCATCTAGGTTGTCAGATTTAGTGTCCCATCAAGAAGAGTCTAACTGTTCTGTAGATTATGAATTTGTGCTCATTGATTTCTGGCTGCATCTCACCGTTTTCTGAAGCATTGGCCATAAGTCTCCTACATCACATATGGGAATACCAGAGAACAGCATTGCCCCTAGCCCTTTAAATTCTATCTTTGAGAATTAAAAGCCAGAATAGTAAGTGCATAGAGGAACAGTTTCCCAGCCTAGAGCTGTGGGTAGAAGGGTGCCAGGGACAGGTCTTGTGCAAGAACATCCTCTTCCTCTTTTGCATTGGATGTCATCATTCTGGCCTTTAGCCTGCTCTGTCCCATGGGTATGTCCCACAGTGTGAACTATGTCACAAGTTCTGTATTCTGTTTCTGTGAAAATCTGGCATGAGACACTGCCATGGTCCTTGGAGCTGCTCTTCTTGGACTTGGTAAGTGTGACAAGGTTCATTCTTTTTAGCCAAAGTGGTAATGGGTCCAGCTTCCCACAGGACAGGGAACCCTGATTGCTTTTCGGGCTGAGTGGGGGGGGGACTTAATTGGGAGAGGGGGAGGGAAATGGGAAGTGGTGGCGGGGAAGAGACAGAAATCTTTAATAAATAAATAAATTAATTAAAAAAAAAGAATCCCAGATTTATAACCTTGGCTCCTCTCATAGAACTTTCTCTATGAAGACTTGGCCTGTTGACTGCAGAGGAGTCTTCCCTGGCCTCAACTTGTCCATCTGGCCTTTGAGTTTTGAGCTGAGCTCTGGGGTTGGGATCATTGTATACCAGGATAAACTTGTCTTATCAGGTCTTTTGCTCTATTTGCAGTGTTTTTAATGGTTCAGAAGATCTGGGCACAGCATGGTGAGTCTGTTCTCTATTTTAGCCATGGGAAACTGAGTTTGGCTCAGAGTAGCATGGGAGGATCTTGAAGCATCTTATGCAGATCCTGAGAAGGAATTTTCATTGGCAGCCACTGTTGGAGCCCACAAAACTATACAGTGATTGCACAGCTGACAGACCAATAGGCAGATCCACCGAAAGAGTATATATACACGTCCACATGGAATAACCCGTTTCACAGAGCTGTGGGAACACTTGTCTTTTGGAAAAGTTGCTGGCATATCTGTGCAACCCTTGTAAACCCATGATTCTTCCCTTCGAAATGGGATTCATTCCTAGAACACATCAGCAGTGTAATCTCTGCATGGCCATTCCCCCACACCAGGATGCCTTGGAGGGGTGGCATTCACTCTTTGTTCTAGATGTCAAATTTATATAGAGTGAATGCCACGTGGTTACCTGCTAACAGACCATGTAGAAATTTCCATAGAAGACAGGCACTGAGCAAGAAGGCGGCATGCCCCACTTTGCTAACCAACAAATCTGGGTGTCTCCAAAGCTAGTTATCACAAAAGAGATTAGATGAGGAGAATGGGTGAAGCCAGGATTCATGGTTGTTTAGTAACTTTATCTAATGGTTTGGGATGTCAGGTACTACTTCCCCTTGAGTGCTGGCTTTTTCCTGGGTGGTGTCACCTGTTTTGGAGTATTGCTTTGTCTGGTTCTACATGCCTTTTTTTTTTTTAAAAAAATCATTTTGATATGCATATTATCATTGTCCTTGCCTATGGAAATTTTCAACTATGTCTGTAAAAACTAGAAACCTAGTAGAGAACAGCTTTTATTCTTCTCTTTCTTCTTTTTTCTTCACTACTTCTTCCCCTTACTGTCCTTCTCCTCCTCCTTCTCTTCTATCTCCTCCTCCTCTTCTTCTTTGTCCTCCTCCTCCTCCTCCTCCTCATCCTCCTCCTCCTCCTGATCCTCCTCCTCCTCCTCTTCCTCCTATCTTCTTTTCCTCTTCCTTCTTCTCCATGCTCTTTCACTTTACTTTCTCCCCTTGTATGAAAAATAAAGAACATGCGGAGGTAATGTAGTTGAGTTAATTTTTTACCCTCAGATTCTTGTCTGCCATAGACATCAACTCTGAGCCCTGAGGGGGTACTGAGGCTGGTACTCAAGGCCTCTGATAAGCCATAGGCACAGTTACTTAATGATCAGTCCTTACTATTGGAGCCATCTTTGGGATGGGGATTCTCAACTGTGCTCCAGTAAAGCCTGCAAGATATGTGTCTCTGAAGGATATTGGAACAAATGTCACAGAGGAGAGGACACCTGCACACACATGTTTCCTCCTGAAGCTGCAGACATTTGATTTTCAATTTTTTCTTTTTCCTCCTCTCTCTGGGGCTGTGTCTGACTCTCATACTGAGTTTTGCCCTTGGGAAGATGCTTCATCCACAAGACAGAGTTGAAGTGAATGCTGTCTAATGTGTGTATGGCACAGATGGAATTCTGATGTGGGATTCCCCTCTGTATACTGTGACTATGTTTTATTGCCATTGGTTAATTGAGAAGCTGCTTTGGCCTATGGCATGGTGTTGGGAAAGCTTGGTTAACCAATTATCTTTAAGATTTGGGACCAACTTAGGGTGTGGCTTGCTAAGACCATGAGAAAAAACGGTACAGGCCCAAGTGTGCTCTCTGTGTGTTCCCTTGTGGTACAGCTTAGCTTGGCCTTCTCGTTCCTGTTTTTGTGAGATTTCCCTTATAATGAATGAAAATATAATTGTTGTATCTTCTAGGTAGCCTTGTTATTTCCCAATACAGCAGGGCAGAATAAAGAAATTTGGAAAATTCAAGCAGAGATAGAGGATGAAAGGAGATGGAATCAAGCAGATACTATGTAGCTACAGAAGGAGAAAATGCTGGTATCTTACCAGTAAGCCACAGCCTCATGGTGATATATAGGTCAATATAAATGGGTTAATTTAAGATGTAAGCACTAGCTAGTAATATGCCTGAACCATTGGTCGAATAATATTGTAATTAATATAGTTTCTGGGCAGCCAGAAAATGAAAATGCAGTCTCAGTTTACAAATGGCACCCAAACTTTTGGCAAGAATATCCACACAGGGCCTAAGAAAGCTTGAATAATAAAAAAGGGCTTCTAGACCCAAAAGTGGGAGTCAATTGGGGCTTCTTGGCAGCTGTATGTTTTTAGATAGGCTGTTTGTTGGTGGCAAGCAGAGGTGTGGCACCTTTAAGAGAAGGCTTCCTGACTCAACATTAGCAGGAAAAGCTGCATGGTTCCTTTAAGAAAGAGCTTCCTGGTTCATGCTGGTGGCACAGATAGCTCTGCCTCTTTCAGAAGGTCCTATTATGGGGCACTTGAATGGGGTTTGTGAGTCAACTGCTTCTGAGAATTGGGGTGGTAAACGTGGATCCAAGGATTCATTTATTTTCAGAGGCTCCCAGGCTTCATGTGATATTGGAGTTCGGCGTAGAGGTTGGGTGTTCTGTGGAGGCAAGAGACAAAGTAAGACATAGGTCAGTGATTTAATGGAATTTTACCTTACCCAGGAAAGTGGGAAGGTTTGGTGATTAGAATGACAACCCACAGGGTTCATTACTGAGCTTGTAGGAGACAAGGAGAGAAGCCCCTGATAGCACTAAGGTATAAGATTTACTCTTCCATTGTTTGGGAACAGAAAAGATAATTAGGCCTTTTGAAATATACCAGATGCTTATTTCTGAAAATAATGAGACTTCACTTTGGAGGTGTGCTGGTTAGTTTTCTTTCAACATGACATAAGCTAGAGTCATCTGGAAAGAAGGAACATCAGTGAGGAACTGCTTCCACTCTACTAGTGTGTAAGCATGTCTGTGGGGCATTTTCTTGATTAGTAGTTGTTGTTGTGGGAGCCACTCTATAGCTCCTTGGAAAGCTGGACCTCCTGACATCAGTTGACTGGTGCTTGTTCCTGTGTCTCTCCAGGGTCACCACCCCAGCCTTCCATCTGGGTCAGTCCAGGAGTTGTGGTTTCCACAGGCAGTGATGTGACCATCTTCTGCAGGACCCTTCCAGGAGTGACCACTGTGCGTCTAGCCTGTCTTGCACCCAGTACTGTGTGGTATGATGGTACCCCACAGGGAGCCCAGGAGGTGTTTGAACTCAGTCTGAAGAATATAACACAGAGTAATGCTGGGGTTTACTTCTGTGCATACTTTAATGGAAGTCAATGGTCACGAAATAGTAACAATCTGGAACTGGTGATAACAGGTGAGTAACTGCTCAAGGACACTTCTTCAGATTTAGTCCAGGAAGCCTACCTCACTGAACCACGTATGCCCCATCATGAGCACTGTCCTGAATCTCTGCTCCATATAATGATCTCTTCATTCCCTTCCTTTCCCTTCCCCTCCCTTCCCTCTCTTCTCTTTGCTATTCCTCTCCTCTCTTTTTTCCTCTCCTCTTTCCATCCTTTCCTTTTCAATTTCCATTTTTCCTAATAATATTTTTTGAAACAGATTCTTACATATCTCAGACTGGCCTTAAACTTGCTTTGAGTTCAAACATCATTTTGATCTTCTGGTCCCTTTGCTGCTACTCTCTTAGCACTGTCATTAGAGACATTGACAATAACACCATTCATGTGGTGATGGTCACAGAACACTGGGCACAGTGTATATATTAGGCAAGAACGCAACCAATCAAGATTCGACCCTAGACCCTCTGTTTTGGTTTGTGACCCTCCCTCTGTGCTGACCATGTTCTAGGCTTCCTTCAGAATGGTGACTATAGCCCCTAAAGGATGGAGTTCATGGCAACTGACAGCAGCCTTTTGTACATACATAGAGCCTCTCTATGGTCCTGGTTTATGGAAAATAATCCAAACACATTTTGTGATCCTTGTTGATTAACATTGAATGAGTTCCCTTTTGTCTTCATCTTTTCTTCCCTCTGGTCAGACTCTGAATTGTAGGCTTATATTTCATCATGTTTTAAACAACAGCATTGTACTGGCTAGTTTTGTATCAACTTTACAGAAGCTAAGTCATCAGAGAGGAAGTAGACATACTGAGGTAATGCCTCCATAAGAACAAGTTCTAAGGCATTTTCTCAAGTAGTGATCAACAGTGGAGAGCCCAGCCCATGATGGGTTGTGCCATCACTGGGCTGGCAGCCCTGACTTTTGTAAGAAAGCAGGCTGAGCAAGACATGGAAACAAGTCAGTAAGAAGCACCCCTTCATGACCTCTGTATCAACTCCTGCCCCTAGCCTCTTGCCCTGTTTCAGTTCCTCTCATCACTTCTATCAATGAAGAACAGCAATGCTGGAGTGTAGGCCAAATAAAATATTCGCTCCCCAACTTACTTTTGGTCATGTTGTTTCATAGCAGCAATATAAGCCGTAACTAAGACAAGAGTCTTTTTATAAATTTTTTGACATAGGGTCTCATCCTGTAATTCTGGCTCTTCTTGAAACCTCAATATTGAGCAGATTGTTTTTATTTATTTATTTATTTACTGAGCCTGGTCCCTCATTCTTTTTTTTAATTTTTTTTTATTATCTAACAGTTTTCTTGTTTCTTTTAAATACCAACCACAGTTTTCCCTCCTTCCTCTCATCCTTTCCCTTCCACAGGCTCCCCTTTACGCACCCCTTCATCAACTTCCCCATCTCTATTCAGAAAGGGACAGGCCTCCCATGTTCTTGAACAAAGTATGCATGACACATCAAGTTGAGGTAGGACCAAGCTCCTCCCTCTGCATTAAGGCTGGACTAGGTAATCCAGCATGGAACAGGTTCCAAAAGCCAGCTAAGTGCTAGGAACAGGTCCTGATCTCACTGCTAAGAGTCTTGCAATAGATCAAAGTACACACATGCAGAGGGCCCTAGGTCAGTCCTACACAGGCTCCAGAGTCCATGAGCTCCTATGAGCTCAGTTCAACTGTCTCTATAGGTTCCCCTATCAGGACCCTGATCCCATGGCTCAAACAATCACTCCTCCCTTTCTTCAGGAGGACTCCCAGGGCTCAGTTCAGAGCTTGGCTGTGGATCTCTGCTTGTGCCTCCGTCTGTTACTGGGTGAAGGCTCTCTGATGACAATTAGGGTAGTCACCAATCTGATTACAGTAGATGGCCTGTTCAATCACCCTTTCCACTATTACTAGGAGCCTTAGCTGGAGACAAGCAGGTTGTTTTTAAACTCAGAATGATCCACCTGCCTCTGCCTCCTGAGTGCTAGGATTAAACGACCATGTCACAAAGACCAGCTAATATTTTTCCATTTCCAGGTGTTTACAATGAGAAGTCATTCCTTAGTGCTGATTCAGGACCTCAGGAAATCTCAGAAAGAAATATGACTCTCCTCTGTCACACGCATCCTTCCTTTGACATCTTCATCCTCTGCAGAGGTGGAAGTGCCTCCTTTCCCCAGAGCTGCTCACGTCAGGACCACAGCACATTCCTCATCTCCCCTGTGAGCCCTGGGAACAAGAGGACTTACAGATGCTTTGGCTCTCACAAACAAACTTCCTACTTGTGGTCACTGCCTAGTGATCTGCTTGAGTTTTCAATTCCACGTAAGTATGTCTGGTTTTTGTTTCTTATCTCTGTTCTTAGACAGGAGGTCTCAAGGGATTCCTTGTGGGATGTATCAATTCCACTTTATGTCTTCTGTGTGCCACATGCTGCACACTGCCCTGCTATTCTGACTGAAATTGCTCTATTTGTGTTATGGGCTCTGAGCATTATGTGTTGATTATATTATTTTGGGGACATATTCGTCTGGGAAATAGATGTCCTCATCTGTTCATAATGAGAGTCATCTTTCAGAATGTTCCTTTCTGAGTTATATGTGTGACAAGTACATCACTAGCCAATGGTGACAGAAAAATAGAAAGAGTATCTGCTAGTTTCTCCATGAGATTGATGGTAGTTTTTTTTTTTTTTTTTGAGACAGGGTTTCTCCGTAGCTTTTGGTTCCTGTCCTGGAACTAGCTCTTCTTGAACAGGCTGGACTCGAACTCACAGAGATTAGCCTGCCTCTGCCTCCCGAGTGCTGGGGTTAAAGGTGTGCACCACCACCGCCCGTCCTGATGATAGTTTTTTTTAGATCTCAGGAGATCATGAATTTTTTTTTGCTTTTTTTGATTATAATACATCATTTTCTCCCCTCCTTTCCTTCTCCCTAAAATTTCCCATGGACCCTTCCTTGTTCTCTTTCAAATCCATGGCTTATTTTTACATTAATTATATGTACATCAGTGTATATGCATATACATGAATATATTTTTGCATAACCCGCTTAGTCTGTATAATGTTATTATATGTATGTTTATAGAGATGAGCATTTGATATTGAATAACCAATTCGTGTTCTCTTCCCTGGGGAATTCCATTTCTCCACTCTCAGAATTCCAGGTTCTTTATAGTCATTTATGTAGACTGAGGCCTCATGGGCTTTCTCCCATCCACTATGGCATGTCTATCTTGTTGTCCTTATCCAGCTCATGTTTAGGTTGCCATGTTGGGGAAACTTTATGGGTATTGCTTCTGATATTAGTAGGAGACACAATCTCACAACAAACTCCCTGATCCATTGGCTCCTACAATCTTTCTTTCCCTTCTTTCACAATTCACTAGTTGTTTTGTAGATGTAGCCATTGTGACTGAGCGCCACAACTCTGCATCTTGGTTTGTTGTATTTGTAATATTATATGTAATGTAACTTTTTAATGGTCTTATCTTTTACATAAGGAAGTTTCCTTGCTGAGGAACTGGTATGGGCAGTCCTTCTGTATATGTGTCATTTTTATTGGTTAATGAATAAAGAAGCTGCCTTGGCCTGTGATAGTGCAGAGTAGAGCTAGGTGTGGGGAGGAGGGAACTAAACTGAATGCTGGGAGAAAAGAAGGTTGAGTCACAAAAAGCCATGTAGCCTCTGTCAGGGACAAAAACCTGTCCTGAAGCACACTGAAATTTGTCAGTTGGCCACGACTTCTTGGTGATACACAGATTAATAGAAATGGGTTAATTTAAGATATAAGAGTAAGTCAGAAATTCGCTTAAACTATTGGCCAAACTATATTGCAAACAATATAGTTTCTGTGTGATTATTTCATGGTTGGGGCAGCGGGGAACAAAGAAGCATCCTCCCACTACAAGGAACGAGTACTACACTTACCTGTCCCACCACCATTTGGACATCATGGTGCCATCTTTGAACAGTCATCAGTCCAGTGGAAAATGTAGGAAACAATTTTTGTGTGTTAATTTTGCTTTTCCTCTTTTAAAATTTATTTTTTAAAAAAATTCATTTTATATGCCAACCACAGTTCTCCCTCCCACACTGTATTCCACACAGTTGTTGGCCATGTACCCAAATGTAGTTTATACTGTAGTTTATACACTTGCACACAGAGAAACACATATACACCTTGCTAGTTAATAGTGATAGAGAATTTGAAAGGTTCTGTGCTAGCTTCTTTATGCAGGAAGACTTGCATCTTTGTCTTATATCATACTTTGTGAGCACAGTGCTGCACATGAATAGCCATCACCCTAGCGGAGAAGATACAAAGACATTTGCAGAAGAGAACAAAGGGAATTTGAATCAGGACTTTGTAAGGTTATGTAGGAAGAGGGCAGATTCAGTTCTGTATCCTAAGCTCATCCAGTTATTTGGATGTTTCAGAGTTTCAGTGGAGTTGACATCTTGTAAGTATGGAGACTAGGGACACAGAGACATTTCCAAAGAACTACGGGTAAAGTATGAAAGGGTGGACACAAGGAGGCAGAAAAAAGAAATAACACGTGAAGGATGGAATTGGACTTGTTGGATAAAGAAGGTGTTTGGTGCAGCTGGGTGTGGGATGAGAATGGGAAATGAAGTATGAAAAGAACAAAAGCAGATTGAAAAAAATATACATATGGAATTTCCAAGGATAAAATATTTAAGCCAAACTAAAACTGATAGCATGCTTCCTTTACTCAAGTACATAACTTTACTTGCACTAAGTCAGGCAGCTAAATACAACAACAGAACACTAAATATGAATGTCCCAGAGAGCCAAGAATGGGAAAGTGTGTGGTGAGCTTGTGTGTAAACAGTCATCAAGGGGAGGAGTGGCTGCTGTTTGCACTAGTTAGCTGGTGCAACTTGACATAGTCTTGAGTCATCTGAGAGGAAATACCCGAGTAAGGAATTGTCTAGATTAGATTGGCTTGTAGGTATGTTTGTGTGGTAGTTTTTTTCAAAAACAATTAGCTGATGTGTGAGAGCCCAGCCTAATGCCCTAAGTGGTGTGGGAAGTCCTTCTGTATATGTGTTGCTTTTACTGGTTAATGAATAAAGAATCTGCCTTGGCCTGTAATAGTGTAGAGCAGAGCGGGAAGAACTAAACTGAATGTTGGGAGAAAGAAGGCAGAGTAAGAAGAAGCCACGTAGCCCCACCAGAGACAGACGCCAGATGGAACCTTGCCAGTAAACCACAGCCATGTGGCGAAATACAGATGAAAAGAAATGGGTTAAACTAAGATGTAAGTGCTAGCTGATAAGAAGCTAGAGCTAATAGGCCAAGCACTGATTTAAATACTATAGTTTCTGAGTGATTATTTTGGGTCTGGGAAGTTGGGAACAAACACCTCAGTCCATTTATTAGGAGGTGGCAGAATGTCCATGTATGTTAGAGGGACAATGGTAGAAAGGGAAATGAGGGAAGGCTCCCTGACATGGTTGCTTCTTATTCTCTAAAGGTATTGGGAGAAAGAAGGTGGGAATGCATATGTGGGTAGGCAAACAGAATAGAAGGGCAAAGAGAGGACCCAGGGGCTCTATAAAATACTCAAGTCAGTGTCTATTTAAGGGACTTCCAGCGTTAGACTTCTCTTATCCAGAATGTGTAAGCCTGTTAATTTCTTTTTCTCTGAGGCTTGATCTTCTATCTTTCTCTGTCATTCAAAATTTTTTAGAGACATGACCTCACTGTGTTGTATTGGCTGTTTTTGAACTTTGTAAGTAGACTAGACTGTCCTCAAAGTTACAGAGGTGAGTGTGCCTCTGCTTCCTAAGTGCTAGGATTAAAGGTGTAGGCATTACTGTTCCTGGCTGTCATTCATTTTTTTGTTTGTGTCATTGAATGATTTTAGCAGTCTCCTATATGACTGCCAATACCTCAGTTAACATTAGCTGAGGAAGACCCCAGTGTTAGGGAGGCAGCAAACAGTATCCATACATGGTTAAAGCTTCAGGTTCCTGCTTGTGTTTCTGAGCAGTCTCCCTCAATGACAGAGTGTGACCTAGAAGTCTAAGATAAATCAAGCACTTTATTACAGCATCAAAAAGAAAAAGCAATATGCATAATTAGACATCTGCCCAAATAAATTATTTTCTGAGGGCCATTAATTTTACTTCTACAGTCTAAAGCACCTTCATGAGCCTGGGTTGTGTAACTAATGGAGTATTTGACATCATTCAGCTTAGACGTCTGGTATCATCTCAACAGAGCTCCTAGTTGGCCAATATCCAAGCATCCTCTTGACCTCAGGTTTTGATTGCAGGAGATTTCATGTGTCCTCTTACATATATTATTTATTGGTTCTCTTTTGCATTGCTCCCACATGGTTCTTCACCACATTCCATATTTCCTTTTCTAAAAACACCCCTAGACCACTTCCCTTTTCCCCCATCCTGCCAACATCACCTTTCTCCAACTATCATGGTCACTAGTTATCTCTCCACTTTCTTCTTGCCTCTCATGTCCATTTATCACACAACAAGTTCAGGCAAAACTTATTCTTTTTCTGGATTATAATACAATTGTAACATTCTTTCTTACCTTTCTTCCCTCCAAACCCTCCTACATCTGCCCTTTTTCAAATTCATGGCCTCTATCTTCACCAATTTTTATTTTGTTTATATATATGCCTAAACATAAGCACTAACACTGTATAATGTTACTTGTATATGCTTTCACTGTTGATCTCTGACTCTGGACAATCAGCTGATGTACTCTTCCCTCTAAAATACCACCTGTCTTGCTCTCTGTTTCATGTAGTTGTCCATAGTTCATTGTCTGCACATAAAACTTTTTATTAGTGTATATTCATTGTGCAAAGTGCTGCTTTTCTTTAAGCATATCCTGAAATTTGACTAGTATTTAACCCATGCTCTTATGTTCTTGTCATGTGTGATAAGGCTGTCAGGAAAAGAAAGTAAGCTGAAAGATGGTAAGAAGGGGTATATACTGCCCCTTGTGGACATGAGATACCCAATCCATTATGAACTCCTTGAAATTGCACTTGCCACCGAGGCTGCCTCATATTGAGCTCATCAACTAAAGAGAAAGACTAAAGAGTTGCTGACACACTCCTGATGAACTCATCACACTGACAGCTTCTGGAAATTGAGGCATCACTGGCATGGCTGTGTAACCATTCGCAAGCCTACTAGACGTCCATGAAGAGTTGTGCACTCATGATCACACAGATGGCTCTGGTTAAACACATTGGATCAAAACTAAAGAATGTCAAACACAATAGAAAAGGGACAAATGGAGGAAATAAGGGTGTGGAGAGACAGGATGGAGATAGGAAAGTTTAGGAAGCCAGCGTTATCAGACTACATTGTCCAAGCATGAAGTACAGAGAGACATCTAGTATTGATCAAACCAACTAGATTATTGCTATTTGCATTGTGAAATTGAAGCTAAGAGACACATCAGCACAAGTATGAACTTTCACTTTGCAAATACAAACTGGGTCCTAGGTAGTTAATGGTTTAAGTTGCAGCACAGATTCTAGTTCTAGTGAATATACTAGAACCAGAAATGCCAGATTGACATTATCATAGCACTGATTCAAATCTAGATAGTTTGTAATGATTTTGGTATAGCTTCAACATGTATTTCCTTTTGTTCTTTGTCATGAAGAGATATGATAATATTTTGAGTCTGACATTGTAGAAAGTGATGCAGTGGCTAAATTTTGTAATCTAATTTGCCCCTGCTTCGTCCAACCAAAACACTTAGCTGTCCATACAGTTCTGTGTAGTTGGCAGAAGTGGTCTTTCTATAACTTACGTAGAGGCGTATTTCATTCTAAGACCAAATGTAGTGGTTATTAGAGAAAAAACAACCACAAATAAATTGATATTGTTGAAATAACACTTTAAATTCTTTTTTCTCCACAGAATCTTCTACATCAGATTGCAGATTAGAGAATCACATTCGGCTCATCCTGGCTATCGTCATCCTGTTAGGTCTTGGGGTTCTACTGCTGGATGCTTGCAACAGCAGAGAGAGCCCATGATGCCTTCAGAGAGTCCTAACCTGAGAGCCCAGCTACCCCTTCCTACACCTCATCAATGTTGGGAGGAGGGAGCTGCTTTTTGGTTCCCAGCTGCTTAGCACCAAAATAATCACACAGAAACTGTATTAATTAAATCACTGCATGGCCCATTAGCTCTAGCTTCTTATTGTCTAACTCTTATATATTAATTTAACCCATTTCTATTAATCCGTGTATGGCCACGTGGCTGTGGTTTACCAGCTAAAGTTCTGACATCAGTCTCCGGTGGGGCTACATGGCATCTTTCAGACTCAACCCTTCTTTCTCCCAGCATTCTGTTTAGTTTTCCCCACCTACCTCTGTTCCCCTATAGCTCTGCTATAGGCACAGAGCAGTTCCTTTATTAACCAATGATATTCACAGCATACAGAGGGGAATCCCATATCACATCAAAATGCTGACAATAAAGAGTCTAAAAGGAGTTGTAATTTCTCTGCTAAATATTCAGTGTCTGGAGATGTGGTACAATACCTGTGATATGACTGGAATTTCATAATTCTTTGTGTGGTGTTTGTAAGAGAGATCTTCCAAGCAGCAGATTCCCATATCTTGCTTTGGTCTTCTGTGGGACATCTTTGTGTGCTCATCCCTCATTTCTCATTTCTCTGCATATAATTATCTTCCTCTTCATTCTCCGTTATCCTGTGGATATGCTACTTCAGAATGTGAGTGAATTGCATTGTTGACATGAGCATATCCATACCATAAATGCCAAAATAAAACTATCTTTTATTTATCATACATATCAATCCAAGTACCACTCCCTCTGTCCTCCCATTTCCTCCACATAACCTCCTATCCCACCCCCATCCAATCCTTGGAAGAGAGTAAGGCACATTGCTCTGGGGAAGGTTCAAGGCCCTACCTACTATATCTAGGCTGAGCAAGGTATCCACTCAAAAACAACAGGTTCCCTAAAAGCCAGTACATGCAGTAGGGATAAATCCTGGTATCACTGCCATTGCCCCCTCAGTCTTCCCCAGCCATGCAACTATCAACCACAATCAGAGGGACTAGTTTGGTCCTATGCTTGTTACTTTTTAGTCTGGCTAGAGTTTGTGAGCTCCCATTAGCTCAGGTAGACTGTATCAGTGGGTGAAGCCATCATGGTCTTGACCTCTTTGCTCATATTCTCACTCCTTCCACTCTTCAACTGGACTTGGGCAGCTCAGTCCAGTGCTCTGATTTGGGTCTCTGTCTCTGTTCCTGTCAATTGTTGGATGAAGGTTCAATAGTGATATTTAAGATAATCATTAGTCTGACTACAGGGCAAGGCCAGTTCAGGCACCCTCTCCTCCATAGCTTAGGGTCTTAGGCAGTGTCATCCTGTAGATTTCTGTGAATTTCTCTAGAGCCAAGTTTCTTGCTAAACATATAATAGCTCCCTCAATCAAGATATCGCTTTCCTTACTCTCATCGCTTTCATTTCTGTCCTTCCTCTTTCTCAACTATCCTATTCCCTCAGGTTCTCTTCACCCCTCCCCTTCTCCTGTTCTCTTCCCCTTTCACCCTCTATTCTTTTCTGACCCCAATACTCCCAATTTTGTCAGGCAATCTTGTCTGTTTCGACTTTCCAGGTGGATCTATATATGTTTTTCTTAGGCTTCACCTTATTACTTTGCTTCTCTAGGATCAAGAACTATAGGCTCAGTATTTCTTGTTTATAGCTAGTGTCCACTTATGAGTTTGTACATACCATATTCATCTTTTGGGTCTGGGATACTTCACTCAGGACAGTGTTTTCTAATTCCATTCATTTGCATACAAAATTCAAGATGTCATTGTTCTTTTACAGCTGGCTAGTACTCTAATGTGTAAATGTGCCATACTTTCTTTATCCATTCTTCAGTTGAAGGTCATTTAGGTTGTTTCCAGGTTCTGGCTATTTACAAATAATGCTGTATGAACATAGCTGAACAAATGGTTTTGTAGTATGATTGGGCATCTCTTGGGTATTTTTCCAAGAGTGGTATTGCTGGATCTTGAGGTAGGTTGACTCCCAATTTTCTGAGAAATCACCACACTGATTTCCAAAGTGGTTGTACAAGTTTGCATTCCCACCAGCAATGGATGAGTGTTCCCCTCACTCTACATCCTCTCCAGTGTAGGCTATCATTGGTGTTTTTGATCTTAGACATTCTGTCAGGTGAAAGAAGGTATCTCAGAGTTGTTTTGATTTGCATTTCCCTGATAGCTAAGGAAGCTGAACACGTCCTTAAGTACCTTTTGCCCATTTGAAATTTTTCTGTTGAGAATTCTTTGTTTAGTTCTGTATTTCATTTGTTAATTGGGTTATTTAGATTTTTGGTATCTTATTTCTTGAGTTCTTTAGTATTATTATTTTTTTTTAAAAACCAATAAAAATTCCCACTCCTTCCCACCCCAACCCCCTCTAATCCTAAGAGAGAGTAAGGCACATTGCTCAGTGGACAGCCAAGGCTCCCCTCCCCACTTACTACATCTATGCTGAGCAAGGTATACATTAAAAGAGAATAGATTCCCAAGAAGCCAGTACATGTATTAGAGATAGAGCCCAGTACTGCCAGTGGCCCCTCAGTCTACCCCAGCCACACAACTGTCAGCCATACTCAGAGGGACTAGTTTTGTCTTATACTTATTCCTTCCCAGTCCAGCTGGAGTTGGTGAGCTCCTATTAGCTCAGGTAAACTGTTTCAGTGGATGAACCCTTCATAGTCTTGACCTCTTTGCTCATATTCTTATTCCTTCTACTCTTCAACTGGACTTTGGGAGCTCAGTCCAGTGCTATGATGTGGGACTCTGTCTCTGTTCCCATCTGTTGCTGGATGAAGGTTCAATAGTAATATTTAAGATAATCATCAGTCTGACTACAGGGCAAGGCCAGTTCAGGCACCCTATCCTCTATTGCTTAGGGTCTTATCTGGGGTCATCCTTGTGGATTCCTGAGTATTTTCTTAGAGCGAGACTTCTTGCTAACCCCATAATATCTTCTTCAATCATGATATCTCTTTCCTTGCTCTCATATCTTTCCTTGCTCCATTTTAACTATCCTATTCCCTTATGTTCTCCTCAACCCTCCCCTTCTCCCATTCTTTCTACCCCCACCGCATTCTCCCAATTTTTTTTATGTGATTTTTGTCTGTTTCCAGTTTCAAGGTTGGTCTAGATATATTTTTTCTTTTGATTCACCTTATTACTTAGCTTTTCTAGGATCAGAAACTATAGGCTCAATATCCTTTGTTTATGGCCAGTATCCATTTATGAGTAAGTACATACCATATTCATTTTTTTGGGGTCTGAGTTATCTCACTCAGGATAGTGTTTTTTTATTTTCATCCATTTGCATGCAAAATTCTAGATGTCCATTCTTTCATTGAGGGGCATCTAGGTTGTTTCCAGGTTGTGGCTATTTACAAATAATGCTGCTATGAACATAGTTGAACAAATGTTTTTGTAGTATGATTGAGAATCTCAATCCCAAGGGTGGTATTGCTAGATCTTGAGGTAGGTTGACTCCAAATTTTCTGAGAAATTGCCACACAGATTTCCAAACTGGTTGCACAAGTTTGCATTTCCACCAGCAATGGATGAGTCTTTCCCTTACCCCACATCTTCTCCAGTATGGGTTGTCATTGGCAGTTTTTCAGTAAACTGGGAGTCAATCTACCTCAGGATCCAGCAATTTCACTCATGCAATATGCCTATGAGATGCCCAATCATATTACAAAAGCACTTGTTCAACTATGTTCATAGCAGCATTATGTGTAATAACCAGAACCTGGAAACAATCTAGGTGCCCCTCAATGGAAGAATGGATAAAGAAAGCGTGGCACATATACACATTAGAGTACTACTCAGCAGTAAAAAACAGTGACATCATAAATTTTGCATGCAAATGGATTTAAATAGAAAACACTATCCTGAGTGAGGTAACCCAGACCCCAAAAGATGAATATGGTATATACTCACTCATAGTGGATTCTAGCCATAAATAAAGGACATTGAGCCTACCGTTTGCGATCCTAGAAAAGGTATGTAATAAGGTGAACCCAAAGAAAAACATATATTTATCTGCCTGGATAATGGAAGTAGACAAGATAACCATGCAAAAGTTGGGAGTAGGTGGGTGGGGGTTGGGTAGGAGTATGGGGAGATGGGGAGAGAGAAGGAAAAAGGGGAGGATTGGGGAGAACTTGGGGGACTAGGATGGTTGAGATGGAGGAAGGGTAGATACGGGAGCAGGGAAGAAGATATCTTAACTAAGGGAGCAATTTTACGGTTGGCAAGAGACTTGGCTCTAGAGGGGTTCCCAGGTGTCCAAGAGGATGTCCTTGTGTCGTAGAGGAAAGGGTGCCTGAACTGGCCTTGTCCCATAGCCACAGTGATGAATATCTTGAATATCACCATAGAACCTTAATTCAGTAATGGATGGAGATAGATACAGAGACCCACACTGGAGCACTGGACTGAGATTCTAAGGTCCATATAAAGAGCAGAACGAGGGAGAAGTTGAGCAAAGATGTCAGGGTTGCGAGGGGTTCGTTCACCCACTGAGATGGTGTGACTGATCTAATAGGAACTCACCAAAGCCAGCCTGACTGGGACTGAATGATCATGTGATTTAACTGGACTCTCAGGATGCGGCTGACAATGGGGGATGACTGGGAAGCCAAAGATAATGGCACTGCGATTTGATTCTCCTGCATGTACTGGCTTTTTGGCAGCCTAGTCTGTTTGGATGCACACCTTCCTAGGCCTGGATGAAGGGGGGAGGGCCTTGGAATTCCCACAGGGCAGGGTACCCTGCCTTCTCTTAGGACTGGAGGGGGAGAGGGAGGGTGAGTGGGGGAAGTGGGAGGGAAATGGGAGGAGGAGAGGAGGTAGAAATTTTGAAAGAAATTAAAAATAAAAGTAAAATAAAAATATAGAAAAAAGAATTACAGTTACAATATTTGTATCTATTTTATCTTTTATCATAACTAGGAAAACTGTAGCTATAACTATAAATTCTTCAACTCCAACAAAGACTCCAGAAGGATATGATATTACCTAAATAAACAGGAAATACATTTTAAAC